ACCGACCGACTCAAGACCAACGAGGTCGGCCGCAGCAGCAGAGGCAACAGAGGGCAAGAGGGGAGAGGGGGAGCACCCCTCAAAGACAGGGGCACGAGGGTCACCACGAGAGGCTCCTACAGCGACTATGCTCTTCTCTGCCGCTAGGAGGCGCTCCTCGAGGAGATCAACGGTGAGGGTGGTGGGGCAAACAGAGAGAAAGTGGTCCCTGACCGGGCGAAGGGTGTCAGGGAGCCGGGTGACTATGTAGTAGAGGGTGATGTACATAGGGGGGGGGTTCTTGGCGCAGAACTCAGCGGGAAGGGCAGCGCGGTAGCGAATGTCACTAGTGCGAAGGTGCGTAATGAGGTCAGCGACTGTGGGAAAAGCTGCGAGGTCACGGAAGAGGTACGGCAGGATGAGGCGGCTAAGTGCAGCAGTGGCAGGGGAAGAGTAGCGTGCAACTACAGCGTCGTACGAGGTCCTAGCACTCTTGTACTGGCTAAAGTGTGCACGCTCAGAGGTAGGCAAGTGGCGACGCACAGCAAGACGTGCAGCAGCATCGCGTGTGGCCCACTGTGAGCGAACAGTGGCGTCAGCATCAGCAGCAGGGGCAGGAGAGGCACCAGAAGTGAGGTCAAAGAGGGAGAGACCGTCTGCCCTATCGCACTGTAGGAAAAGCTGCAGGTCATCTACCCAGACGTCAAAGTCAATGGCCCGACCCTCAGCGTCAAAAGCGAGGACACTGGGGGTAGCCATGACAGCAGTAGACTAGCAGCGCGAGCAGTAGGCTAAGGGCAGTGCAGTGGTAGAGGTGCTGCTCTTACCGGGCAGGCGAGAAGGACCGAGGCTCGCCGGCAGGAACAGGGCCGCGACGGCAGTGACCGGGTGTAGCGGACAGGGCGGCTCGGACGGCTCGGCGGCTCGGCGGCACGGCAGCAACAGCAGCTCGGCGGCTCGGCGGCTCGGGTGGCTCGGGCGGCTCGGGCGGCTCGGCGGGAGCGGCGGCTCGGTTGCTGCAGGGACAGTGGCAGCTGCTGCTGCAGGGACGACGGCGGCGACTGCTGCTGCAGAGACTGCGGCGGCCGCTGCTGAAGGGACGACGGCGGCGGCCGCTGCTCCAGGGAAGGCGGCGGCCGCTGCTGTAGTGGGCGACGGCGGGCCGCAAAAGGGGGGGGGGGCGTAAGGGGCCGCGTGAGGGGCCGTAAGGGGCCGCTAAGGGCGGCGCGAGGGGCCGCAAGGGCGGCGGCGGGGCCGAGGAGCGGCGCGAGGGGCCGCAAGGGCGGCGCGCGGGGCCGACGAGAGGCGCGCGAGGGGCCGCAAGGTCGGCGCGCGGGGCCGACGAGAGGCGCGCGAGGGGCCGCAAGGGCGGCGCGCGGGGTCGACGGGCGGCACGAGGGGCCGTAAGGGTGGCGCGCGGGGCCGTAAGGGCGGCTCAAGGGGCCGCTAAGGGCGGCGCGACGGTAGGGAGGGCACTCGGGGCGCGACTCGGGCAGGGGCGAAGCGCCCTCCAGGCAAGAAAAAAAAATATCGAGGTGGGCCCTAGAGAGCGTTCCCACTAGGGAACCTGCTCTGATACCATGTGGAAATGAAACGAGGAATGATTGAACTGAGCAGCATGAGAAGTACAAGTACCAAACCCTAAAGTGTTGTACCCCATATAAGCTACCCCACTACAGCCTACACAGACTATAGTGTATGAGTTTGACAGTTGTAATTCGCCGCAGTCACCTGCCGCCGAATCTCCATTTTTAACCCTTCGGTGTACGCCTGGATTTTTTCGCCTTCGGTCAGGTCGGTGATGCGGTTGAACAGTAACTCCATCTGCTGCGTGTACTGTGCTACACTACTGTATTGCTTGTGTCGGTGTATCTGCTGCCGCGCCATGTAGGTCGTATTAATAGGTCCGAAACGCTCGATTAAATCTGCCCGAAACTGCTGCCACGTTTTCTCCCCGCGGGCTACGTCGGTGTAGTAAATCCATTCGAGAGCCGGTCCACGTAACAGTGTCGCTGCGAGCCGAATCCTTGCTGCGTCGTGTTGCGGGGTCGAACAGCCAATGGCCTCGAAGTAAATTTCGAGGGTGGCCACAAATCGCCGGACGTCGGATCCTTTCGCGCTTGGATCGAACGCCTCAGGGAGCCTCGGTCGTGCTGCTTCGAGGTTCGGCGACAGTGGTGCCATCGGTCCGTGAAATGTCGGTGTCGCCACTGCTGCTGGAGTTGTCGGTGCTGCAGTCGCTGCGGTCGCTGCTGCTGCGGTGGCGAACCCTGGTTGGCTTGTCAGAAAAGCCTCGAGTCGACGAAGCGTCGCCTGCGTCTGCTCCATGTCGGTACGGAGGCTCGCGATGTCGCTCGTGGTCGCGTAGTTGTCGCCTTGGCCTTCCATGCCTGACATCAACGCGTCCGAAAAACCGAATCGAGGGGGAGCGAAAAACACGGAACCGGTTTTACGTACCCGAAATCGATGTTTAACTGCGTCGCACCCGCGGTTTTTTGAAGACTGGTTTGTAGCGGTCGAAAGAACTTCGCGTGAAAACGGGCTCTGATTACCAAGTGTGAGGATCTAGGATCGAGCTCAGAAAAGAGAATGTGAATTGAATTGAATTGATCACCTGGGTACAACACGAGGCTATATATAGGCTCGACACAAGGCCCCGTAACCAGGTGTTACGCGAAGGTTCCGCGGGTCGCGAAGCGTCCCGAACAGATCCTTACCGAATTCGGTAGAAGGCAATTCGGTGGCAACCGAAAAGCCAGAATTCGGTGCACGCAACCTAGCTCGGTGCTATAACTATAATAAAATATAGGAAAGCACCTAGCCTAGGAAATCAAGCAATTCATGCATGCATATAATTATCCTATGCTAGAAATAGCATGATAAAGTAAAGGCAAGCAAGCATAGCTGGCATAAGCCGTCGTACTCTCACATAGGCAGTCCGTGACGGCCGCTGCTGTAGGGCGGGGCAGGGCCGCGATGGCAGGATGCTGCAGGGCGGGGCAGGGGCGGCCGTCCCAAGGGCGGGCGCGGGGTAGGGCGTGGGTAGGCAGGCGCTCGAGGGCGCGGGTAGGCAGGCGCTCGAGGGCGCGGGTAGGCAGGCGCTCGAGGGCGCGGGTAGTTAGGCGCAAGGCATGTGACACGGTAGGCAGGCACGACAGTGCGATTCGGGCAGGGCAGAAAAAAAAAAGGTTTGTGGTGGGCCCTAAAAAAAAACCGGTCCCATTAGGGAACCTGCTCTGAAACCATGTGAAAAGTGGTGAACAAGGAATGACTGAACTAGCAAGGAGATGGGTACAAGTAAGAAAACCTAGCAGTGTTGTACCCCATATAGTCTACCCCAATACAGCCTACACAGACTATGTCATATATGTTTGACAGACCAATCACCATTCATCCCCTCCAACCCTTCCTTCCCGTAAATCGCTACCTTACGTAGGTAGCGCTTTAGAGAGCCATAGTTAGGATAGCTCCTAGGGTATGTAGGTGATGCGTTACACAGCCGCATCCATAGCAGCATCAGGCGGCTCCGGGGCAGCAGAAGCGTTGGCCGACAAAGCAGTTGGTGGTGGTGGTGGTGGAGGGTACGGCGAGCATGGGCCCGTCGTGAGCGCTGCTGAGACGCCTCTACCTGCACCGGCTGCTAAAGTGTGTAGTGCGTGCCCGCTCCCACTAGGCTCTCGGATTCGGGTGCACGCTACTCAAGTGCGTAACCCGCAGCATCGCCTTGCTATATCGCGTCCCTGCTATTGCGCATCCATACAGCGCATTCAACATCCACTCACTCCTCTCCTCCTGCTCTCTCGCCTTTTCCCCTCCAATTTCTTCTCTTCTCATCGCATCCCTGTCCTCTCCGCTCCCCGTTCCCCTCCTTGCCTCGCCCTCCATCCCGCTTCCTTCCGCCCCCCTTCCTTCCGCCCCCCCCCTTCCGCCCCCTTTCCCTCCGCCCCCTTTCCCTTCGCCCCTCTTCCTTCCGCCCCCCTTGCCCTCCACCCCTCTTCCTTCCGCCCCCCTTGCCCTCCGCCCCTCTTCCCTCCACCGCCCAGCCTTCCGCCCGCGGCCCTCCGCGCATGCCATGGTTGCCAGGGCCTTCTGCTGCGTCGACTCTCTCACACAGGTCAGGGCAGGTGGGGCGGGTCAGGGCGGATGCGGGCAAATCCGGCGGGTCAGGGAAGGTCAGGGGAGGGCACGGCAGGGCAGGGGAGGGCAGGACAGGGCGGGGCAGGGCAGGGCAGAGCAGGGCGGGGCAGGGTGGGTCAGGGGGGGCCGGGAGGTGGGGGGAGTGTTCGAAGGAAATGCTGCCATGAGCAACAAAATGTCTGCGCTGGGATTCGAACTCGTGACCTTCAATTCTGTCCTGAAAGTGTCTCAGGACAGATTCAGGATAGTTTCTGCTAAGGCGCTGGTTATGGTGCACACGAGTTTCGAATTGGAGACCTTTTGATTCAAGTGTCCCGAAAGTGTCTTGTCAGGACAGATTGGGGACAGTTTGGGGACAGATTGGGGACAGTTTGGCGAAATCGATCTCGGGTCGCGTTCGGTTTGAAACTCGGCAGCGAAGTGTCGAAGTCAACGGAATTCGCACGGGAGTTACAGTCGGTGGTCGACGGAATTCTTGTCGCGGAAATTCTCGTCTACGGAATTCCAGTCAATGGAATTCGCTCGGCAAAATTCAAGGCTCCGAATTTTACGTAGACGAAATTCAATGTGCGACCCGGGTCGACACTTTCTTGTGTGCTTTTATTTTGTATTGCGTCCTAGTATAAAACCAGAGAGCACAAACCAGAAATCAACCAAGTCATTATCACTGCTATGTTTGTGTGTAACTCTGGCTATAGTGGACCGTTTCCTGCAATCTTTGGTGCGTTGGAATCGTGCTTTCAAGCTCTATCAAGCTGCTAAGAAGTGGAATTCGACATGGTATCAGAGCGGCGTTATCTGCGTCGATCCAACTAGTGGCTTGATTTCGTCCTCCCATCACTTCGTTCCCACGTTGGTGTGGCCGACTCTCGTTTTGACTGCGCATGGAGTGGTTAACGAGCGCTGAGGGTCTGAATGCCCGTCAGGAGCTGGAGGCGTCCGTTCGTGAGCACCACCCTCACTTGCGTGATGAAGAAGTCGACCTCATTGTGGACGGTCGTCTACTACGCATGGTTCGGGAGCGCACGGCGGAGCAAGCACCTGCGAGCGGCCAGCAAGGAGGAACCGGTGAAGGAGGAGCTGTGCACGAGGCTCCAAGTGCTGTGGGCGTTGGTGGAGGAGCTCTTGCACCGACCATTGACACGGAAATGATCGGGGCGAGCTACGGTCAATTCAAGTTTGGAGTTGAACACATCTCCGTGACGCCGCTGCTGGAGGGAAGGCACGACCTTACCGCGTGGGTCAGCGCCATCCGACCTCAGCTCCAGTGTGCTGATTTGTGGCAGTTTTGCAACGGAACAGCACCAAGCCCGGCCTCGAACAACCCCTTGCAACGAAGGGAGTACGCAAAGGGCCAAATGCTTTCATTCATGGTGCTGAACCGATGTGTTTCTCCACCCATCCGAATGTCCATCTCTGGTTTCTCTCAGCAAGAGAAAGCCGGGCAGCTAGCATGGGCATATATCTTGTCTACTTATCAAGTTCGTAATGCCCTCCACGGTTCCGTACTTCAGACCCAGTTAGCCCAACTCAGGAAGGGAGATGATGAGACGGCGGAATCCTACTGCAATAGGGCCTGCACCATCCGAGCGGAGCTGCTGACCATTGGAAAGGAGGTCCACATGGCCACGTTTGCCGCCCACGTGCTGAAGGGCCTACCACCGGAGTACGGATTTCTTTGCCGCAAGCTCGAATTTTCCAGCCCTGACATGACGGTGGAACGCGTGTGCAGCGAGGTGTTGATGGAGGAGCAGACTCTCTCCATCGAACAGAGTTACAAGCAGATCACCAGTGATGCATCTGCTTTCTCGGGCGCTGTCAATGCCATCGTGGCTACAACGGGGGTCAACGGGAAGGAAGGAAAAGGGGGAAGGGAGCAGACGGACAAAAACAAGGATGGCAAGTGGAAGAAGAAGCGAGCCCCCTTCAAGGGGCGCTGCTACAACTGCAATGAGGAGGGGCACATGGCTGCCAAGTGCCCCAACAAGAAGAAAGATACAACGCCCGCGGCCGCCGCGAACGTAGCTGAAGGAGACGGGAAGGGCGTGGCGCTCAGCGTCGCGTGTTCGGCTGCAAAGTTGCTTGCTGACGACAAGGACTTGTGGTTCCTTGACTCAGGATGCTCCCAACACATGACCGGCCGAAAGGATTGGTTCACGGTGATCCGTGACCCATCTGCAACAAAATCAGTCGAAGGGTTTGATGGTTCTATGCAGGAAGTTGCCGGTGTTGGTGAGGTTTTGCTGGAGGGCACTAACGGCCTGCGTGTGACCCTACATGATGTCCTCTTTGTGCCAGGAATGAAGGCCAACTTGGTCTCCCCTGGGCAGCTCTTGGACAAGGGAGCAAAGCTGCAAACCGAGGAAGGTGTCACTCGCATCATCGCATAAGGAGGTCAAGTGGCTGCAACGGCACGATACCGCCATCGCCTTCACTGCCTTGACCTGAAACCGGGGCCAACAAGGAACGGTGCAACGGCTGTAGCGGCATGCAACGGCACGGCGGTTGTAGCGGCATGCACCCATATGGCGGGTGGAGTGGCGAGCAATGGCACAGGGGCTGCATCGGCATGCAACGGCTCGGCGGCTGCAACGGCAAGCAACGGCACGGGGAAGGGATTGCTGATGTGGTGTCAAGCAAGCCGGAAGTTAAAGATGGAGCGGCCAGCCTCAATACGTACGCGGTGGGCTCCAAGGCAACGCCCAACCTATGGCACGCTCGCCTTGGACACATCCACTTCGATGCGGTGAAGCGGACAGCCACGAGCGGTGGCGTGTTCGGTATGGACCTGGAGAAAGGAGGTGAGGATATGTCGTGCACCTCCTGCCATGAAGCCAAACTCACTCGTGAATCATTTCCGCTGCACGACGAGCGAGAGGAGCAGGTACTTGGGCTGGTCCATACTGACGTGTGCGGTCCATTTCAGATCCTAGCCATGGATGGAAGTAGGTACTACATTCTTTTTGTCGACCACGCCTCACATTACACCTGGGGGAAGACGTTGAAGCTGAAGAGCGACGCGCTTACTGCCTTCAAGGAATGGCTTCCCGAAGCTGAACGCCAAACCGGGATGACGCTGAAGGTGTTACGGTTGGACCGGGGAGGGGAGTTTATGTCGAATGAGTTTCTGTTGCTGCTGAAGCAACGAGGAATTCTACGTCAACTTTCCTGCCCCTCGACCCCCCAGCAGAACGGTGTGGCTGAACGCCGCAACCGTACGGTAACTGAGGGCATGCGTGTGATGTTGGGGTACATGGGGGTGAAAGCACACTTGTGGCACTTCGCTTTCCAGCAGTTCTTGTGGGTGTTAAACCGTGTGCACCAATCCACCCTGCCCCATGGTGTGACCCCTCATTTGGTGGTGTTCAAAGTCAAGCCCGATGTGTCCATGGTCCGTATGTTCGGGTGCATGGTGCAGTACCTCATTCCTGAGCATGAGCGTGAGGGGAAGCTTGCAAGCAAGACTCGTTGGGGCATGCATTTGGGCATGAGCATGGAAAGTAAGGGATGGCGTGTGGTGGATGTTGAGTCAAAGCGCATGGTCATCACCCGGGATGCACGTTTTTATGAGGACACGTCACTTGAACGGTGGCAGAAGTGGCGTGCACGCGTGGGTGACGGGAATGACCAGCCCACACCACCCTTTGCTTCAGTCCCATCTCTCTTCCCTGAGCCCCACGACCCCGAGCAGAATCCGCCTCCACCACGTACCGTCATCGTGGTCCCGGTACCGTCCGTGCAAGGGGGCGAGAAACCCCTTGATCGCTCGGTGGGACCTTTGGGCAGCAAGGCACCTACTGCACCTCCTCCTCTTGGTCCACCCTCCGTTGCTGATTCGGCGCCCGTAGGAGCAGAGGATGGTCCTCTGGAGGTTGACACCAGCATGGCTGATCACGAGGAGGAAGAAGAAGAGGTAACAGTGGATGAGCAGTCACCAATGGCCCATGAGCATGAGCCTTCACCTGCAGTTCCCCCCCTCCAGCCCATTCCACCACCCCCACGTCGCTCCAGCAGGCCTAACAAGGGGGTGCCACCCGTATGGTTTCAGCCATCAGCCATGACGGCCCTGGATGCGGATGACGAGGACAACCCGTATGACATGGCGTACCTTGCTGAGGACGAGTGCGACACGGACAGCGATGGCGAAGTGGAGTACCCGGACGAGGATGAGGAGGAGGAAGGCGCTTGGGGAGGTGTCATCCTCGACCTAGCAGCTGCGTTGACCGGACCTGAAGGCAAGGAATGGTGGGCTGCTATGAAGGAGGAGATGGAGAGCCTTGATGAGCAAGGCACTTGGACGTTGGCTGACCTACCTGAAGGTCGCAAAACCGTCGGCGTCAAGTGGCTGCTGAAGAAGAAGCTGCGGCCTGATGGCACCGTGGAGAAGTACAAGGCCAGGCTAGTGGCTAAGGGCTTTAGCCAGCGATTCGGCATCGACTACGACGACACTTACGCTCCTGTTGGCAGCTACACCACCGTTCGCGTGCTCCTCTCAATCGCAGCAGCTATGGACCTGGATTTGCTGCAGCTTGATATGAAGAATGCATTTCTTCACGGCACCATCGACCACGAGATCTACATGCAGCAGCCGCCTTACTTCACCGACGGTAGCAGCAAGGTGTGCCTCCTGCAGAAGAGCCTTTACGGGCTAAAGCAGAGTCCCCTTCTGTGGTACAAGGAGCTGGACAAGGTGCTCCTTGTGGAGGGGTACAAGAAGAGCCTTGTGGACCAGGCCCTATACTACAAGGATGGGGCGAGCGGGAAGCGCGTGTGGCTGCTAATCTACATGGATGACCTGCTAGCGGCAAGTGAAGACCAGCAGATTCTGCAGGACCTGAAGGGGCTGCTGACCAAGGCGTTTTAGCTCCGTGAGGTGGAGCCAGTGGAGCGCTACCTGGGGCTGCAGATTGAGCGAGATCGCCCCAACATGACACTCTTCCTGCACCAGAATGCATACGTGGCGAAGGTGCAGCAGCGGTTCTTCAAGGGGGCGCCACCAAAGAAGCAGCCGATCACTCTCTCCTCTGCCAGCTTTGCCAAGCAGGATGCCGCGCAGTTTGCCAACCGTACCATGACCGAATACTTGTCAATTCTCGGCATGGTGCAGTTTGCAGCCATCCCAACCCGTCCTGACCTCTCTTTTGCATGCAGTCGCCTTGCAGCAAGTGCACACTTCAGGACCGATGCGCATTGGCATGAGCTCTTCCGCACACTCTCCTACTGGGCTGCCTCACAGGACAAGGGGCTGCTGTTCAAGGGAGGACCAGAGAGTTTGACTCTCGTAGGGTATGCGGATGCGGATGATGCAGGCGACAAGGAGAACCGGTCGTCCACGGGAGGCTACCTCTTCAAGCTTGGCGGAGCTGCCATTTCATGGCAGGCCAAAAAGCTACAGGGTGCAACCAAACTTTCCTCCACCGAGAGCGAGCTTGTGGCTGCGGTGGAAGCGGGAAAGGAGGGGCGCAAGCTAAGGTTCCTGCTGTGGGAGTTTCAACTGCTCAAGAAGGGTGTCCACACCACCCTGTATGTCGACAACATGTCAGCGGTGCAGCTCAGCCAGGCGGGCGGGCTGCAGGGGCGCATGAAGCATGTCGACCGTCGCCACATGCGGCTACAGGACATGGTGCGCATGAAGAAGTTGGAGGTGCAGCACATCCCTACAACGGCGCAGCCCGCGGACTTCTTCACGAAGCGGCTCGACAAGGCAGCCTTCAACCGATGCTGTGCAGCAGCCGGGCTGGTCCAGCATGCTCCTGACAGCAAGAGGGCGTGTTAGAAGGAAATGCTGCCATGAGCAACAAAATGTCTACGCTGGGATTCAAACTCGTGACCTTCAAATCTGTCCTGAAAGTGTCTCAGACAGATTCAGGACAGTTTCTGCTAAGGCGCTGGTTATGGTGCACACGAGTTTCGAACTGGAGACCTTTTGATTCAAGTGTCCCGAAAGTGTCTTGTCAGGACAGATTGGGGACAGTTTGGGGACAGATTGGGGAGAGTTTGGCGAAATCGATCTCGGGTCGCGTTCGGTTTGAAACTCGACAGCGAAGTGTCGAAGTCAACGGAATTCACACGGGAGTTGCAGTCGGTGGTCGACAGAATTCTTGTCGCGGAAATCCTCGTCTACGGAATTCCAGTCAATGGAATTCGCTCGGCAAAATTCAAGGCTCCAAATTTCGCGTCGACAAAATTCAATGTGCGACCCGGGTTGACACTTTCTTGTGTGCTTTTATTTTGTATTGCATCCTAGTATAAAACCAGAGAGCACAAACCAAAAATCAACCAAGTCATTATCACTGCTATGTTTGTGTGTAACTCTGGCTATAGTGGACCGTTTCCTGCAATCTTTGGTGCGTTGGAATCGTGCTTTCAAGCTCTATCAAGCTGCTATAGAAGTGGAATTCTACAGGGAGGGGGAGCAGGTCAGGGGTAGGTGGGTAGGCAGGTCGGTACCTCATCTCTTTGCTGCTTCCTTCTCCCTCCTTGTGCCCCCTCCACCCTCCTCCACCTTCCTTCCCTCCCTTACTGGTCTTGACTGCCGTTCACCATGTTGACCCGCGTTGACTGCTGTTGACTACGTGGCAGAGGGCGGGCACAGCAGCGGTGGAGCTGGCTCTTGTGGTCTACCACTCGCACGGCCCCTTCTCAGGTGCGCCGCATTGCCCCTGCTAGCTGCATCCAACCTCCTCTAAGTTGCACCCTTCACAGGTAGGCCCTTCTAAGGTGCGCCCTTCTCAGGTGCGCCCTTCTCAGATGCGCCCTTCTTAGGTGCGCCCTTCTCAAGTGCAGCCTCTCTATTCCTCCACTCACCCTCATGCAGACTCATCCTCCTCTACATTTTGTAGCACGTCTGCCACACCACACACTCCCTGCCCCTCCCGCTCGGGCTCTGCTTCTTAGGGGGAGATCTTAAGGCGACCTAAAGCAAGTTTTGTTCCTCTCTCTCCCCTCCCCTTATCGCCCTCCAACCAACTCCATCCCTGCTTCCCCCTGTCGGCCTGGCTGTTGCAGCAGACGCCCTTCACGGGTTCGCTTGCCGTCTTCCTCTTGTGGCTCGACGCGCTCTCCTTCTCGGGGGGCGGTGCTACCGATGCCGCTGTTGCTGAGGGCCTTTCAAAGGCACTGCTGGTGAGTTGAGGTGAGGGGTATGAACGGGTGGTGGTGAGTGGAGCAGTGGATGTAGCAATGTGTATGAGTGTAAGGATATGAGTCTAGGAGCATCATGTATGCTACTTGAAGATGTCAGGGTGGGGAGAACAGAGTAAGGGATTTAGAGGCAAGGCTGACAGGGCATTGAGGTGGCGCTGACATGGTTGCGCTTCCCTTCTTCCCCCGTTGCCCCATACTCCCCACCTTCTCCCCAGGCCAGATGCTGTGCCCCACGCCATCCCCCTTAGCTACGCCACCAGCGGGTCTGGAGCGCCACAAGCACATGGTGCTCGTCGCCGCCTCGCCACCCTACCGCCTGTCCACCCCCGTCGTCAAGCCGCCCCTGCCCGAATCCACCCCTCCTGCGGATGCTGGGGGTGGCGGCGGGGGCAAGTGGGAGGCAGCGGTGTGGTGGCTGGCGTCCGCCCCCATGGTGGCTTCGCTCTTTGCCCACCCCGAGGTCTGCTCATTGTCTTCTCACACCCACCTACCTCTTTCCTTGCCTCCACTGCCCTCCGCTCTTCTCCGCCCCCCCGTCAGTTCCTGCCCAATTACGTTTTCTAACCCCTCCCCTCAACACTCACCGCGCATTCTCTCTTATTGCCTTCCTTCAGCAACATCGTTGGGAACTTTTGCTACTTGTTTACTAGGCTCAGGCTTCAGGTAATGGCATGCTTTCTGCGTATTGTTCGTGGGTTGAGAAGTGCAGGTTTGCATTCCATAGACCTGTACACGACATGTCATCCCATGCGCATGCCACAGCTGGGTGGTTATGGCATCGTGTTGGGCACGATGGTTGCAACCCCCTCTTTTCCCTTTCATGTCCTGGTCGGCTCTTACTTGCCATGCCATAGGAATGGCATGACATGGCATGGTATTGATTGGGATCATGGCATGTAATTATGAAATGAAACCTTAGCATGGCATTTGCATGGCATGGAATGGCATGGCATGGCAGCTCTACGTCATGCTCTCGCTCATCGCTCCTCGCGACGTGCCTCAACTGAGGCAACTATATGTCGTGCAAAGCCTCGCCCTTCTGTCATTGCAAGGCCCTCCTTCCCTCTGCTGTGACACCATCGCTTGCCATGACTGCACTGTGCTGTGTGGGGCTGCACTTGCAATTGCAATGCTGAGTGTGTACCCATCACTCTACTGCCTTCTCTGCATCCCAGCTTCTCACTTCTTGTGCAAACAGCACAGCCGGCAATGGATTCACCCAACCCCTACAGCATTGGGCAATGCCTTAACAATTGCCTTATCAATGTCTCATTGCACGGATCCAGCAGTCATGGCCTAGGCCTTTTCAATAGCAATCGCTGCACTAGCACAAACGGTCAAGCCACCCTAGAGGCATGTGTGCACGCACTTCGCGCGCTGCACACTCCAACTTCAATGCACCTCAACCCAACCCCATTACTTGCCCGTGAGGCCGTGCCCCCTCACCCTTCCTTGCTCCCCGTTTCCCTTTGTTGTCCCCCTTCCCCCTCCCCCCTTCCCTTTCCTCCAGGCAAAGCCTAGTTCCAGTGCAGCAGAGCCAATGGCACGGCATCACCCCCACCACGTGGCGCACATTGATGAGGGCTCACTGGAGGCTTTTGAGTCGATTAAAGACTCCAACAAGTCCCCTCACCCCTCTCGCCCTCTCCCCTCCCGTTTCCCCTTCCCCCAGGCCAAACACAATCCAGAGCGGCAGGTCTGGTGGCAGTTGCAGCTCGACAACACAGTTTTGTGAACACCCCCCCCCCCCCCCCCCCTTCCCCCCCACCCCCCCCTCCCCCCTTTCCCCTACACCCACTCACACCCCTCTCCCCCACCCACCCCACTCCCTCTCTGCAGTCCCGAGGCAGCAGAGCCAGTAGTAGATGCAGTGCGGCAGCAACCCCATCACGTGGCGCTCATTGCTGAAGGCTTCCTCGAGGCTCGCAGCGTTCTGCACCGCACACCACCGCCCAAAGAGGGCCCGCCACGTGGCGCACAGGCGGTGGCCCCCTCTTTTGGTGGTGGTGGAGGAGGAGGGCCCGGGGCAGGGGTTGAGGGCCAGCAGTGGCGATGGTTGGTTCAGCAGGTATGGCCAGGACAGACATGGGTGGGGGCAGGCATGGTTGGGGCAGATGTCAATGTACGATTAAAAAAATGGAATGGGTAGAAATGAAACATACAAGGGTAGATATTGCTAACCTTTACCCGACTTATGACAATTCTGTAACACTTAGACTAGAACAAACAAACCATATGAAATATACCTTGACACACCCCCATAGTCTAGGTGACGGGAACTGTATGTAAACAACGCATAGCTCAGAGTGGATCACAAGGTCACCATGGAGTCTGAGAGCAATGGTCATAAGTTCAGTCAGCAAAACAAGCAACCAACAAAATATGCATCTCAGTGTGGATCACAAAGTCACTACACAGTTTGAGAGCAAGCAGGTGGTCACAAGACCAGTCAACATGCAGGTAGATATACATTTATGTATAGAAAGAGAGATGCAAGACTACAAGACAAAGCGCGATGCATGCATCACGACTTAAGCAAGTGAGAAACCGAAGGCACAAGACCAAGCCGTGTGCAGATGTGGTGGGATCACAAGGCAGCAGTGCCTTCGTAAAGATGTCTGTGGTGTTGGCCTCTGAGACCACGGATGTCATCCCATGCAGGTCTGGCAACGCTGCTGCAACCCATGTAGTGGAAAGTACTGTAGCTGGATGTGATTCGCCCAGCACACCAGTCGAGGGTTTAGTCATTATAAAATCATGGACCTGTTGTTAGCGAACTAGACCTGGGGAGAGCGAAGCCGCTCATCAAAGTCGGTGAGAAGGAAAGACAACAAGCGAAGTTCCTGTGCAGCGATGACTCTTGCGTATCCCTGTCTCACAGATAGAACCAGCGTCGGACAATGCGAGCGATGACTTTTTCGTTTCGTCGACCTCCACGAAACGAAAAAGCTCTGGTCCGAAGAGTGAACCAGTATCCCTAAGAAGGTGCAATGTCTTAGCGACGTCCGCATCCGATAAGCGTAACTAACTAGCATCTTCCAAACACAAATCCCATGCCTGATGTGCTCGCCAAATACTTTTTTGCCCTCTAAGCAGCCAACCATTAAGCAGGTCGGTGCTTTCCGGTCGCAGCAAAGCGAGACAGGATACTGAGAGGGAAAACGAGGATTGGGCGAGTGCAGGTCATCAGGAACGTGAGACAACCCACCAACTCTGCGTATGGATCACAAGCCTCAAATGACTTGTCCGATCTGCTGCTAGCAACGGCATTAGCGGTTGCAACAGCGCGCGGCTACGTACTAAGGAGAGGTGTGGGCAACGGAGGGACTGGTAGTGGCGTGATAGGCGCTAGGGTTATGGGTGACAGACGCGGGCGCTAGGGTTACGGGCGCGATGGGCGACGCCCGACCTAGGTCGCGACGAGAGGGCCCTCGGGGGCCGCACAAGAGATGAAAACAGGGCCCGCAAGGGCCGCTTCTAAGGGACGAACAAAGGGCAGGCGGGGGGATTGCGAAGGTACGAACAAAAAGCGCCACATGGAGTGGAGGGTGCGCTAATGGACAAGTGGAGGGGCCGCGAGGGCCTTACGAAGGCATGAACGGGAGACACCGCAGCGAGGGAAACTAAGAGACGAACGAAGGGCCCACGAGGGCGATGCTTAGGCACGAACGGGAGGCGTCGCGGGTGCGTACGGGAGAACGTGGCGCGACGGGACTACAGACAGCAGACCACGGAGCTATCAAGCGCGTCGGGTCGTCGGGCTACGAGCGACGAGCGGGACTAGGGCGGGGGACCCGTGAGATCGAAAAATGGCTCTATACCATATACCATGTGAAAGTAACAATTGTAAAATGAACCGGGTAGAAATGAAACATGCAGGGGTACACATAGCTAATCCTAACCCAACCTACGACAAATGTGTAATGCCTAGACTAGAACAAACAAACCATATGAAATACAGCTTGATAACAGACATGGATGGGGCAGGCATGGGTGGGACAAGCACGGTTGGGGCAGGCATGGGTGAACTTTGGTTTTGTGGTCACAGTGCAATGCACTTTTTAGAGTATGCTTCCAGGCGCCTTCAGAAATGAGTGTTGCGAGCAAGTCTCACGTTGTTTGTTCACCTCTGTGTTCCTTTGTGGTTGCATCCCACAGGGCGACTAGCACAACAACCAGGGGCGCTGATGGGTCAGCAGGCAAAGCAGGTGGGAGGTCTGTTTGAGTGCCTTGCTTGTGTGTTGAAGCGAATTCTCAGCTCAGTGTACCATGTATGATGATGGCATGAAGACATGCTCGTTCATACCCATACCCCTCCCCCCCCAAAAACACAAACACACCTGTCACCTACCCACCCAGCTACTGATACTGTACTCATGCTCGGGATGCATCAAGTGCATATGAAAAATAGTGTAGTGTAGAGAACACGCTTAGTGCATGTATAGCACGTATGCATGTGCAATAGTCGAATAACCAGTTTGGGTCGAACAGACTCGGAGTGGCAGGTCAGTCAAATGGATTCAAACTGGTTCAGGTTAAATCAGTTGGCCTCAAACCTGTAGGTTTTCAAGACAAACTGGTTTGACCGGTTCGGGTAGCAGACACAGAACCGCTTTTATGTTTGAGAGACACTTGCGCTGGTATACCCGACAGCGCACACACAAAGACAACCGCACACACACATATACACATAGCACACAGATGCACAAATATTCACACACACACACACATGCACACACACACACACACATACATACACACACACACACACGCAAACACACACACACACACACACACATACACACACACACACAAACATATACACACAGACATACACACACACAGACATACACATACACATATACACACACACACACATACACACACACATACACACACACATACAAAAGAACACCACACACACACACACACACACACACACAAGAACACCACACACACACACACGTGTGTGTGCATGCCTCTTTCACACAAATGCTGCGTTTCCTAATTCCTCTTTCACTCTCACTCGCTCCACTCTACCCACCCCACACATCCCCAAGCAGGAGCCCATGTATCCCGCAGCACCACAACAACCCCTTGCCCGTCCCGCTGCCCCCTCTCCCTCCCCCTCACAAACCTTGCGTGCACACCAGCCCCCCCTGGCTGCTGCAACGGAGGAAGGTGTGCCAGTGGGGGTGGGGGGAAGGCCCACCAGGCGGCACCGCTGGTATCGCCACTAGTGCTGGTAGGGGTGCTGCTGGCGGTGCTGCTTCTGCTGGTCCTGCGGTGGTTGTGGGCCCAGGGGCAGCAGCACCCATGCCCTCTCTTCGCACCATGAGCCCCAGCCCGTAGTTCTTCCCCACCCAGCAGCAGCGGCAGCAGAAGCCACCACAGGCGTTTCAGCAGCTGCTTCCGCAGCAGCAGCTGCAGCCGATAGGGGTGGCTGTGCCGGCAGGGGCGAGGCTAGGAGGAGGCATGGCAGGGCAGCAGGTGGGTGCAGTGGGGATGGGGCCAGCTGGGGGTGGCGCTGGTGCAGGGACACTGCCTGGCATCGTTGCTGCTGCTGGAGGGCCGGTGCGAGTGGCAATGGGTGGTGGGCCAGCGGAAGTAGCTAAAGCAGGAGCGATGCAGCAGCCTGGACTGCCCCTGCAGGCACAGTAGCAACAGCATCAGCAGCAGCCTCCCCAGGTGGTTGTTGGCCCTGGTGGCCGCATGATGCCCCGCGTTACACCTATAGGCATGGCAGCAATAGGAGGGGGAGCAGCAGGAGCACCTGCAGCAGGTATGGGTACAGCCATGCCAGCAGCTGTTCCTGGACCTTAGCTGGCCAGGCCTGGTATGCCCGTACCTGGCGGAGGCCCGGGAGGAGCAACAGTAGGTATGGCAGGCCGCGGAGGTCCAAGCTTGGCTGCCTCCCAGCCAGGCCTTGGGCGTGGGCTGGTTGCAGGTCAGGGAAGAGGCCCGGGAGTAGGCCTGTGGGCAGGCTCGGTAGCAAGATCTATGGGGCGAGGAGGTCCGGGAGTGGCAGCAGAGGTGGCGGGGGAGTCACAGGGGGGTGCAGCAGCTGCAGGCATGGTTGGGCGGGGGGTGGGCCTGGTACAGCAGGGCAGGCCGGGGCAGGCAGCAGTGGCGGTTGGGGGCCCAGGCATGGGGATGGGGAGAGCAGGTGGAGCAGCAACGGGGCCGATGGTGTGGGGCCAGGCCGGGCATGGCAAGGCGTGTGGTGGGGGGCGTGGTGGGGATGGGAGGGCCGGTGTCAGGGCCGATGGGAGGGCCGGTCGGGGGTGGAGCCGGCATGGCAGGGGCGGCAGGGAGTGGAGCAGCTGGTGGTGCTGGTGGTGGGCCAGCGGCCTCCCCTGCAGCAGCAGCCACAGGCACAACAACAGTTTCAGGCATAGCAACGACCAGCACAGCCACAGTTTCAGCAGGTGCAGGCGGGTGGAACAGCAGGAGGGGTAGGAGGAGCGGGTGGAGTGGTGGGGGGCCAAACAGGGGCCATGCAGCGGGTGGGTATGGGGACGGGCTTGGTAGGGCAGCAGCAGGCCACAGCAACAGGACTTGCTGCCAGGGCAGCAGCAGGTGGGGCAAGAGCAGGCGGGGCAGCAGGCCCCATGGGAGCAGCAGCAGCAGCAGGGCCTGGGCCTGCCATGACTTCTCGCCCTCTGCCTCACGCGCCTGGTGCTGCTGCCCTAGCTGCCGCCGTTGCTGCTGGTGCTGGTGGGCCACAGCCCACTCCCGCTGCTCCTGCCACTGCTGCAGGAGCAGGTGGTGTGAGGCCGCCTGGGCAGCCCCCGCGGTACCTCAAGCTGTGGGAGGTGAGCAAGCTGTGTGCCCTCCCTCCGCTCACTCATGAATCGTTCAATGAATTTCCTTTTTTTTGGGCTTTTGTCTATTCTTTCGCCATTTGATTTTACTGTTTCATCGTTCCGACTCACCATTGCCCCTGCACTGCTCCCCATGCCATGCCCCTGTCACCACATCAGGGCACGCTCATGGGGCAACGAAAGGACAAGTTTGTTGAGATCTGCCGCGTGGAGGTGAGATCTGCAGAATGGAGGTTAGATCTGCCGCATGGAGCTGAGATCTGCCCGTTCTCTTGCTCGCTTACGCTACGCATATGGTGACGTTCTTATACAGACCAAGGGGCTTGGGTTGGAAGTTGGAAGTACCCTATGGAACAAGGGTTAGAACTTACAATACAAACTGAAAAGCTCGGCCCAATTTGTCCATAATCTTCAAGGGCCGGTTGCTAGGCAGTGAGGGAGGTGAAGAGAATTCTTTCCCTTAAAAATGGTCCAAGCAAGGTGTTGGGCGGGAGAGTCTATTGGTTTTGCCTAACAGCTGCTGTCCCAGGAGACTCTAAAACCTCCGCTTGTCCGTTTACTGGGTGCATTACTCAACAGATTTTCTGGTACTAGGTATCGCTTATGATTGACCTTGATCAATTGCTTCTGTTCCCTCACTTTGACGATCCCTGCTCTCAAGTGCTGTCAATCATAGGGATCTTGGCTCCAGCAAAAAAAAACCTCGGATGTAAAGATTTGTCATCCATGTGCTTGCATATGTCATCCATGTGATTGCATGACTAGCAGGGTTACCACCAAGAAACCTCTCCTCCCAAGTATGTCGCTCAAACATCCTCAATTCAATGCCGCACTGAAAATTTTTCAAACATGAGCCGTTTCTCATCCCCATTCCATGAGCTAACACTCATTACACATCCAATCGCCAATCGCCAATCGCACATCCATTGTGCCAATCGCCATTGCACATCCATTGTGCTTTGTTGGTTACTATGTTGCTAGTTATCGTGTTTATCCCACAACCTTGTTTACTATGTACTATATGCTCATTTGTCAATCACTCTTCCCTCCGCTCTCGCACTCGTAGCCTGGTAGTGACACGATGCAGATAGTGCGGCTGGTGTCACAGGAGTGCATGAACAACATGTGAGTCGCTGCTTGTTTTTTATGCACCTTAATGCTAAATCGAGCGCAGCACAGCAAGCGGTGTGATAAGGCCGTACATTTTGTGGGTAGAGAGATGAATTCGGAGGCGCCTCAAAAGTCATCATGGATGCCTCAGGTAAAGCCGTACAAACAAGCTGTGTCTATGTAACCTACAAGAAAGTCAGCAAGAATTGATCGTTACTAGACACAACACTCATGTTGCACTCATCAACACTCCTGATTCCAACGAATTCCTCCTTCTCCTTGCTCCCTTCCTCGGCACCCCCTCTTCTCCACTCTACCTCTCACCAACCTGCCCCCAGGGAGATGGCAGGAAAGGCGGAGCTGCTGGTGTTCTGCCCCATGTCGTCCCACGTGTTCCTGCAGCTGATGGGTGAGAAGAAACTCGTGAGTGCAGCAGATGGCTGAGAAGAAACTCGTGAGTGCAGCAGATGGCTGAGAAGAAACTCGTGCGTGCGGAGGGTCCATGGAAACTCGGAGCTGCTGTGGGAACAATTCGTTCGAGGTGCCTTTCAATGCTCCGCGTGCCTTTGAAGCGTTCAAGAAACTCGTGAAGTAGTGAATGAGGGAAGTGGTTTGAGTTGAGATCCTAAGAGGTTAGAGGAGCGAGGAAGGGAGGAATAGCAATAAAAGAGTGTGAGAGGGTATGAATGGACCGTTCCATCTATTGAGGCATGATAGAATATTATTTCTTCTATAACTATGCCTCGCATGGCATCTGTCTCCTTGTTTGTGTGCATGCTGTATCCATTTATGCATGCATCCAGATGCATCTATCAGTGCACTGTCATTCAGCTGCCGTCTCAAACCCTACTCCTCGGCACCGTACCCGACCGCTCTGGGTAAACTTACCCTTGCTCGTTGCTTAGTGCCTTCTTTGTTGCCCATCGTGCATTTAGACCTAGACCGAATCTTCTAACCAGATTTATCCTTAAAGACAGCACAGCGTGTACATAGCACATAGCTTCACACCTCTGAAAGCTGCTGCATATCTGGAGCTTCTCTTGCTTCTTTCCCTGATTCTAGTCTCTACTTTTCCTAACCTCTGATTCCAGCCCCTGCTTCTTCTCTCTAATTTTCTCTACTTCTCCCAACTTCTCCTCTCTACATTTCCTCTCCTATTTCTGTGCTTATCCTCTCTAATTTATCTCTCTGCTTCTCCCCTCTACTTCTCTCTACTTCTTGCAACCTATTGTCTCCACATCTCCTCTCCTCTTCTCAGCTTATTCTCTCTACTTCTCTCTACTTCTCCTCTTTTCTTCTCCTCTCTACTTTTCTCTGCTTCTCCTCTCTACTTTTCCTATCTGCTTTACCTCTTACCTCCTCTTCTCTTCTCCGCTTCTCCTCTTTACTTATCCTCTATGCTTATCCTCTCTATATCTCTCTACGCCTCCTCTCTACTTCTCCTCTCCACTTCTCCTCTCTTCTTCTCCTCTCTACTCCTCTCTTCTTCTCCTCTCTGCTTCTCCTCTCTGCTTCTCCTCTCCGCTTCTCCTCTCTGCTTCTCCTCTTTGCCGCTCTCTACTTCTCCTCTCTACTTCTCATCTATACTTCTCTTTACTTCTCCGCTTTGCTTCTCCTCTCTGCTTCTCCTTTTTGCTTCTCCTCTCTGCTTCTCCTCCCCACTTCTCGTTTTTGCGTCGCCTCCCTACTTCTCCTCTCTAGTTCTATCTGATTCTCCTCTTCTCTCCATGTACGATCCCACTACCTTTCCCTCGACCTGCCTTGACATCCCATCCCAGATACCTGTGCATCTTCTCTTCATACCTGTGTAGATGCCATGTTGTATATCCATGTACTACCACTGCTTATGGATGCTTAATGTAAGCGTGTTGAGACAAGTCATGTTTGCATGGCTGAGTTGAGTTTTCACCCAGCCATACCATACCATACCGTACTGTTATGTGATGCCATCACTTGCATTCACGTCTGTCTGCCTCCCATCACATGTTCGTGCGTTGCATGCGTGGTGTGAGCGTGTGCAATATTTTGTGTTTGGTATGGTTTGGATTTCCTGAGTGTGTGTATGTGTGTGTGTGTGTGTGTGTGTGAATTCTATTTGGCTTGAGCAGGTAACTGAAGTGAATCCTCTGCTCAAGAGCTTTTCGACGAACCAAGTATCGCTGCAATCGGAGCACGTACAAGAAAGTTAGAAACGATAGAAGTTCGTATGCTTTTGATATTTGGTTGTGGTGACTATGGGAAGTTGTGGGGTTGACTCCATAAGGAGCACGTACTCCACCCCAGGTGTCCCGTCGGTAGACCCCCTCCCTCCCCAGGGTGCTGCTCCTTCAGGTGTTTCCCAGGTAGACCCGGTCGAGCCTATCGAGGTAGCTGTTGACTCTGGTCCTGTGCGAGGTGCTGAGCGTGCTGAGCCTGTTGGCGCAGAGCCTGGGGGTGCTGAGCCTGGGGGTGCGGAGCCTGGGGGTGCTGGGTCTGGGGGTGCTGAGACTGGGGGTGCTGAGACTGGGGGCGCTGAGACTGGGGGTGCGGAGACTGCGGGTGCTGCGCCTGGAGGTGCTGCGACTGGGGGTGCTGCGCCTAGAGGAGCTGAGGCTGGGGGCTTAGAAACTGACCGTACTGCGCGTGCTGGCGCTCCTTCTTCCCAGCAGCTCCGTGAGTGGTACTCCCAGCGTTACAGCCTCCGTCGTGGGGCTACTGGAGCTGGGGGGTCTACTGGAGTTGGGGCTAGTGGTCCTGCGGGTGCCGTGTCGCAGCCGGAGCCTCCCTCCCCTCAGCGGCTGCGTGAGTGGTACGCTAGGCGCTGCAGCCTCCGGAGTGGAGCTCCTGGTGTTGAGGTACTGCCTGCTGGTGCTGCTGGAGGTGTTGGAGCCGCTGGAGGTACTGCTGGAGCTGCTGGAGGTGCTGCTCGAGCTGCTGGAGGTACTGCTGGAGCTGCTGGAGGTGCTGCTGGAGCTGCTGGAGGTTCTGCTGGAGCTGCTGGAGGTTCTGGTGTTGTCTGTGCTGCTGCTGGGGGCACGTCACGGCCGCGGCCATACTTCATTCCGCTCCTTCAGCAGGTTCTTGGTCAGCCGCCTCCTCCTAGTCCTCCTCCCTCCGTAGAGTGTCCTCCGCCTGTCCAGTCGCAGTCACAGCTACCGCCTGCCTCGCCGCTTCCTGGTCCTTCTCCCTACACTGGTCCGACAGGTGGTCTTACAGAGCGTCGTGAGCCTGAGTCTCGTCCTGTGTCGCCTGTGTCCCGTCCTGTGTCACCTGTTCGTACTGCTTGCACTAGTCGCCGTGTACCACGTGAGCGTCCGCCACCTGTCCCTGGCACACACCGGATGTGACTGCGTCCCTCCACTGCTCCACAGCGTGTCCCTCTGCCGTCTCCTCCTCCGTCCTCTCTTCCTGCCCTTGCTGACCCGGAGTCTGACTCCGTTCGTGCTGCCAGTCCTACTGTCACGCGTCTCCTGGCCACTGCTGTCACTGGCCCTTCTTTTGAGTCGGCTGCTGCGTCTGCCCTAGTTGCTGAGCTTGTCGACTTTGCTGCTCGCTGTCGTCTAGACTACGCTGCCAGTCTTGTTGCTGAGTCTGAGTCTGTCTGTCCTCCGTCCGTCGAGGGTGAGTGTGCTCTAGGCACGGACGTCCTTGAGGACAGACAGGAGGACCTTGAGTGTCTTGCAACCGCTGCGCCCCAACTCGTGTCCATGCTGATTGCCCCTGAAGGAGACCCGGATGCACCAGACATCCCGACTCCTCGATCGTACGCTGAGGCGATCGAGGGTCCCTAATCCTCACAGTGGCAGTCAGCCATGGACGCAGAGATGGCTTCCTGGAAGTCCACAGGCACCTACGTCGACGAGGTTCCCCCACATGGGGCGAACATCGTCAGTGGCATGTGGATTTTCAGGGTGAAGCGGCCGTCGGGTTCTCCGCCTGTCTTCAAGGCTCGTTACGTTGCTCGAGGCTTCAGTCCGCGAGAGGGAGTAGACTTCTTTCAGACCTTCTCCCCCACCCCGAAGATGACCACTCTTCGGGTACTACTGCACGTTGCTGCTCAGCGTAACTACGAGCTTCACTCTCTTGACTTCAGCACAGCTTTCTTGCAGGGCAGTCTGCACGAGGAGATCTGGCTGCGCCGCCCTCCTGGCTTCACTGTGTCGTTTCCTCCTGCTACCCAGTGGAGCCTCCGGCGGCCGGTCTACGGTCTCCGCCAGGCGCCACGTGAGTGGCACGACACACTGAGGACTACTCTTGCGGCACTTGGGTTCGCTCCTTCTACTGCTGACCCGTCGTTGTTTCTGCGCACCGACACTTCACTGCCGCCGTTCTACATCCTCGTGTACGTCGACGACTTGGTCTTTGCCACTGCTGACACTGAGGCTCTCGCCCACGTGAAGTCGGAGCTGCAGAAGAGACACACGTGCACAGACCTGGGTGAACTGCGCAGCTACCTTGGCTTGTAGATCACCCGGGACAGAGCACGCCGCACCATTACCCTGACTCAGTCACACATGGTGCAGCAGGTCCTTCAGCGCTTCGGCTTCACCTGGTCCTCAGCACAGGCCACTCCTCTGGCTATAGGTCACTCGCTCTCAGCTCTGCCTTCGGATGAGTCCGTAGAGCCGAGTGGTCCTTACCCAGAGCTAGTTGGTTGCCTCATGTACCTGATGACTTGCTCTCGTCCTGACCTAGTGCAACCCTACGGTTTGCACTCGGCTTGTTGTCCGTGTGCGTGAATGTGTGTGTGTATGGAATGGTATGAGGGCATGGGATAATATATATTTCATGCTTATAATTGTGTGTGAATGTTGAGTCATGATGTCGAGTGTGTGTGTCGAGTCAATAGTGAGTTATCGCTAGACGCGTGTTACGCGGTCGTTTGTGTCTCGCGCGCGGTTTCTATTTTGTCGTGCGCGGTTTCTATTTTGTCCTGTGTCGAACGTTCGGCGTGTCGCAGGTGTGTGCAGCAGACCCATCAAGAACTCAAGGATGAGTTTGTGATGAAGAGCCCGAGCCTTGGTGTCAAGCCTCAAGTGATTTCGAAGCTCGCCAAAAAAGGGTACACCTCAAGATATTGAAGATAGTTACATTACTTTGTGTAGTGTAACATTTCACTTGGTGTAGGCCCTAGTGAAGGGTAGTTTCGAGACCCTTCGTGGTTGGGGACAGTGTGGCACTGTTCTACATCACTGTACCTCGGCTCTTGGGGTTTGTAGGAGCTGGGAGTCATTCCCAACTCGTAACTCTTCCTATCTTGTGTTCTAAGACTATAGTGGCTGCCATAGTACCGTTCGTTCAAACCGACGCTGTGTCGTCAATTCTTTATCAAATCGTGCAATCTAAATTGCTAATTGTAGACGACATAAAGACGCTCCAGATCCAATTTGAATCAAGTCATTTTCAGCTGTGAGCAGAACGCTATCAACGTTTGAAGCCGCTGTGCAGAAATCCGTCTGTGCTCTCTATCTTTCGTTTTAGGCACATTCAAGCCTATTGTGACTATAACAAGTGGTATCAGAGCCCCTTAGAGCAGTTTCGACAATGTCTGGACCTGAGGAAAGGGGTGGCAGAGGTGCTGGTGGCAGTGGAGAAGCTCAAGCTCAAGGCCAACCCCGTGATTCAGCCATGGCGCCCATGCAACCAAGTCTTGGCCCACCTAGGGATGAGCCTAGGGTGTTTGGGCTTGACAAGTTCAACGGTGACAACTTTGCTGAATGGTCCTTCAAGATGGAGAACATCTTTGACCACTATGACCTGCTGGAGGTGATGGAAGGAACGGATAAGCGCCCCGAGAACGACCCGGAGAAGAGCCCGTGGGTGAGGAAGAGCGCACAAGGCTATCTCTTACTTGGGCAAGCGTTGGGGAGCAGTCAGATCCGTCACATCAAGCCATTCCAGCGTGAACCAGAGAAAGGACCAAAGGCATGGGCTGCTCTCAAGGGTGTACATGCTCCTGCAACAGCGGCGGTAGCGGTGGTGTTGGAACGGCAAATGGCGGCACCACGAATTGAAGAAGACGAAGCGGTTGAAGAAGGGGTGCAGAAATTCTTCGACTTGTTGACGCGGCTTGAGGGAGCTGATTTGAACTACAGTGAGCTCCAAAAGAAGACCAAGTTGCTGGCCTTACTCCCAGAGTCATGGTCCTCGCTCATCATCAACCTTAATCGCGACTTGCCCCGCCTCTCGCTTGAAGACGTGAAGCGAGCTATCCTTCAAGAGGATTTCCGCCGCCGTGAGTTGGCGAGTGCGGATGGCGCTGGGGCAGCGAGCATCGGCCGTGGATATGGTCGAGGAAGAGGCAGAGGACGAGGGGGAGGAAGGTTTGGTGGCAGCAACTGCGGCGGAGGCCGCAGGAGTGGCGGTTACGGCAGCGACGACAAGAGCTACGGACGCGGTCGCGGCCGATTCGACGGCGAGTGTCACTATTGCCACAAGAGCGGACACATGTGGCGCGACTGCTACAAACTCTCTGATGGTTGGACCCCTGCTCAAGGCCAAGAGGGTAGAGGAGCAGGAGGAGGGAGAGGACGAGGCCGTGGAGGCCATGGCGGTCGCGGTGGCGGAGCTGCAAACATGAAGAGCGTAGACAACGACAAGGACCCGAGCGACGATCGATACCCGGGTCTATTCTACTTCGTGTCGACGCAAGTACCGGCTGGTCCAGAGAAGGATGAAGGCTTTGAGGAGCCAGCAGCTGTGGGGAAGGTGACCCTACACCCCCTGGACTAT